GCTGAGCATGGCTGTCCTGGCCAGGGCAGCACGTTATTGAGGCAGCAGGTGGGGAGGAAAGCAGGTGAGTGCCAAGGGGCTCCTCTCTCTGGCTGACACAGAAGGGGGCTCTGATCACAGCCAACAAGGATCGTTCACCTGCAGGGAGACACTGGTGGCACCGGCCGATTCCCCAAAGATGGTGATGTTGTCTGGGTCACCGCCAAAAGCTTTGATGTTCCTCTTCACCCAGGCAATGGCCATGTGCTGGTCCTTGAGCCCGTAGTTCCCTGAGGGACAGAGATCAGCCACCAGTGAGCAGGGGCACGGCAAAGCTGTCAAACTGGGCAGCCTGGACAGGACCCCCGAGGGGGATCAGCCCTGGTACCTGGCATGTTTTCATCGCCGGTGCTCAGGAAGCCCAGCGGCCCCAGGCGGTAATTGACGGTCACCACGATGACGTTGCCCCGCACGGCGATCTCCTCCCCATCATACAGGTAGTTGTCCAGGAAATTGGCTCCCTGGCTGCCTCCGACCAGGAAAGCGCCGCCGTAAATATAAACCATCACAGGCAGCTTGGTAGAGACTGGCAGGAGAGGAACACGAGCAGAGTGAGCCCGTTCTGAGCTGGAAGCTGCTGCCCCTCCATGCCCTCACCCCCTCCCTGAGCACTGCTCCCCCCTGCCCTGTGCAGGAGCTGACTTGATGCTCTGCAAGAAAATCCTTGCTCTGCTCAAGAGGTTGACCCTCCCAACAGAGTGAAGGTGAGGGAAGGTGTTGTCTGACACAGTTCTCTCCTTTTTCCCCTGAAAATCACTGCTCAGCATCTGCCCACTACAGACCACAACTACTGAGACAGAATCCAGCACAGTCTGTGCACACAAGGCAGGTGGGAATGTCCTGCCCAGGTTCCTGCCCAGCACATACTCTGCTTCCTCCCTTGAGGGATCCAGATGTTCAGGTAGAGACAATCCTCACTCCCACGGACATCAGTTTGTGTCAGCTTCATCTGCAGGCAGCGTGGTTTGAATTCTTTTGTTTCCAGTGTTCCTAAGAGGAGAAAGGGAAGACAGCATGTCCTGGTTAAGGGCATCAGCTCCATTCTCTGGTTGCAAGGTGTCTGCTCACCCATCCTTTCCTGTCTGAGTCCAGTGCAGTGGCAGCAAACCCTCCCCAGACCTTACAACCCGTCTGAATAATATGTTGTACCATTTCCCATGTGTACGAGATTAAAGAGAGAGAAGTGAAAATAAAACCCCAAACCAAAGGCATTCAAAAGTTGGATCTTACCATCCCAGCCAGGATGAGGTTCAGGGTCTTGCAGAGTCTTTGTCGGGGCAGCAAAGGGAATCCCTCTGAAGATGTCGACGTAGCCCCCAAAGAGTCCCAGTTTCTTATTCTCACCTTTCACAAATCCTCCCTCGGTGAGCACCACACCCAGCTACAGGTGGTACCATGGAGAAGAGAAAATCCATTGCTCTGTCCTTCATCAGTGTGGTTTCCCACATCGCCACATATTCACATCCCACCCTCCCCATCCGTGCCCTTGATCCCTTGTGGAAAGCCCACAGTGCCACTGGAGCTGTGGCTGTGCAGGTGCCCTGCAGGTGCCCTTTGGAGCAGACAGGCAGCAGCAATTCCCCCACAGTCCCAAAGACAAACGGCAGGAGGAGAAAACCTTCAGCCTTAGGGTGCAAACCCAGCCTTTGTACTTACGGTCGCAGCCCAGGCTACCCCGAGGTAGGAGCACAGGGCCAAGCCCAGGATGTGCCAGCGAGCCATGGTGAGTGCTGGGCAGACTGTCCCAGCTGGAGAGCTGTGCTTATATAGCCAGGGGTGCAGGTGTGTGCCAATGCCATGGGCCAGGCTTGGCTTGGAGCTGAAGCAGGGCAGCCTCCACACCTTTGTCCTTCAGTAGCCTAAGGCCAGTCCATGGCTGACGTAGCAGGGCATGGCTGTGAGAGCCCTGCAGGTGCTGCTTGTGTGGGCTGGAGGCCAAACCTCCTCAGGTAACTTTTTCTATTTTCCACATGGCCACCATTCTTACCAGACTGTGCTTCCCACACTCAGAGAGATTTGGGAATGCATCTTCTCTGTTACTCTTCCTCTCTGGTGTATTACCAGCTCATTTGGATGCTTGTCTCTCTCTTGGGAGCTTGTTGAGCTTCCTAAAGGACTCATTAGGCAGTTATTATGAAAATGTATACACCCATTTATCCACATCATTGGTGCACACTTTCTTCCAGGTCTGGAGAGCAGCATCCAGTGGTTTAGTTGAGATTTCTTAATCACAAAAACGGCATTGTCTGGGTGACACATCCTGCTGAGGCCAATCAGTTTGTCACCCCAATACCAGGAATTGTTGTATCCCTCTCTAGGAAACAGGGAAGGGATCAAGTTTGCATTCTGCCCGTGCTCAAACAGACATGGGGCTGTCACTGGATCATGTGAAAATGAGGTTTGTGCTCCAGAATCCAGAAGAAAAGGGACTCAGCCAAGTTGCCAATGGGTTCATTCAGCTTTGGCCTAACCTCTGCATCAAGGGGCAATGCCAGAGGAAAATGTCATGATTTTTTTTTTTTTAAATGCAGATGAAGGCCAACAGTGAGAAAATGAAAGATGTTTCTTGTGGGAGATCTCCCACATTGTTATTCTGGCAAAGCCAGTCGGAGCCAGTGGGGACACTGGAACATATGGCATCAATTCCTGGCAGAAAGCCAGATTTGCTGCACCCCAGGATGTGTGGGGTGTGCAGGGAGGGACAGTGCTCTTCACCACACCCCCAGGTCCCCTCCTCACCAAGTGGACTTTTGCTGGAGTGGCCACTGCCAGGCAGTTTCTCCCTGTGCCTCCTCTGTTGTGCCAGACCTAAAGGGATAAAGCAGAACAAGGCAGCAGCTTCAGCAGGTGAAGGTCTCCAGCCCATGTCCCCTCTGTTCCTGAGCTCTCCCTTTTCCATGGGGATCCAGCATGTGGGACATCTCTGGCACAGCTGAGCCCTGTGTCCCCCACTGCTGTGGGGTCTTTGAGTCAGGGCTGGTGGCACATCCGTGTGTCTGTGTTAAAACTGCTTCCTCCTGCTCATGCCAGTAAGGTGGGAGCTGAGTTGTGTGTTCTTCCTGTGAGACCTCTGGGATGGGGTAGAAACAGAACCAGCCCCGAATACCCAGGAGCCAGCCTCCTCCACAAAACCATAAGCCTGGCTTAGAAGTTGTGATTAATGGTAAAAGAACTGTTTTCGGCCTGTAGGGTGCAGCAGTAGCACATTCTGATGGAAACAAAGAATACCAGTTTGGAAGGGATCTCGAGGATCACCTGATCTCCCTTGGCAAAAGCCCGGTCTAGACAAGAGAGTCCAGCAGATCTGAGAAGTGTCTGGTGTTGGGGAATCCACCACTTCCCTGGGGAGGTTATTCCAATGACTGATTGCTCTCACTGTGAAAAATTGTCCTTTAGCATCCAATTGTAATTTCCTCAGGAGTAACTTGCACCCATTACCCCTCATTTTCTCCATATGACTCCTCCTAAAGGGAGTCTCCATCTTCGCTGTAGCCCAGCTTTAAACGTTGGAACTTGGTGAAAAGTTCTCCCCTTTTCAGGTGGGCTGGAGTTCTAGAGCTCGCCTGAATATTGTCAGACCTGAGGAGAGACTCCCAGAGCTGTGAATGCAGGTGGCAGCACAGCACAGGGAAATGCTTTAAAACAAGACATTCCTGGCACTCTTTACGTAGCTTACACAGCAACAATATCCCGGGTGAGCTCGAGGGGAAAGCCTCTGGGTTGTGCTCTGGTTCCCTCTTTTGTATTTCCTAGGGAAGAGCAGCAGTGTAAGTATGTACCCCAAAACCCTGCTCCCTCTGGGAACAGTTTATCCATCCCATACGTGTCCACAGTTCCTGAGCTCCCCTTCCTTCTGGGCTTGCTTTTTGTGTTGCATTTAATCCAGGGGAAGGTTGAATCTCTCTCACACATACTGGAGGACTCACTGGGCTGAGAGATTCCCCAAATGTAGAGATTCCCCAAATGTGGAATAAGCTCTCCATAAATTCCAAACACTTATTTTCCCTAAGATTTCATGGCATTCTTGGAAGTTTGGGCTCTGAGTGGAGTGGAATGCCATTAGAGGAACTAATACATCTCCTAGCTGAGGTCTGCCTGGAGTTTCTTTTTTACTTTTTATTCTATAGAGCTGTTACACTGATCCTATATTTCACCTCAAGCAGGAAACAAAATGTTTGTGGAAAAGGGCTATGATATGAAAATATGGTACAGTGGCCAAAGTTGTCAAGAGTTAAAACATTATTTCCAACTGCCCTCTGCTAATAACTTGCATCCTTTTTTCCAGGAACAGTGACATTCAAAGTGCCTGGCAAGGGGCTTCCAGATTATTGGAAGTCTTGGTTACAGAGAGCAGAAACCCCTTCTGAAAATAGCTTTCTTAGGGGAACTCTGTTCCAGTGTAAACCAGAATGGACTGTTCAGTTCTCATCTATACCAGTAAAAATCCCTATCAGCCCTGTGCAATGCCCAGATAGTAGAGGGTAGAATATGCTTCATTTCCTTCCACATTGTGTTCTACTCTTAGCAATGTTTCACAGCATTAAGTATCCAAATTACAACACTTTTTTCACGTTATTATTGCTTCCCTTCAAAGAAACCTTGTCCTTATTGGGCATTTTCATCCTTGGCTCGTGTAACTTCAACTTTTATCTCCCTCCTTTGAGCCGCAGCTTTTCCCCGCTCATCTTTGTAATCTGACATTGTGATTTGTTCATTTATGTGCTTGTTTTTCTCCTCAAAGAAGATTTGCTGAATCATTGGGGAGGAGGCAAGAGCTGTAGAGGCAGCTGGTGGCCAGTGATAAAACCATGGCCACATCCAGCCTGCAGGGTTTGCAGGTGACAGTGCATCAGTGGAAGGCTTGAGTCACATTCCTTTCTGAGCTAAGATTACTGGGCACTTTGGGATTGAGGGCGAAAGGATGAGGAGGTGATACCCCCAAAGGAGAAATTATTGTTCCTGGTGACTACAGAGTTTGTGTTTCTGCAAAATTAATAATGATGCTGTGAGAACTCGAAGGCTGGGGGCTAAATCCTGCTGCTTGTTGTGCCATTTTGAAATCCTTAGGCACTACGAGCTATTCAAATGCAAACTATTATCAATCTTGCCGAGTTCTCCACCACCATGTTTGTGGCACTGTGTAGCAGGCACAGGGACGTGGTTCTCTGACCTTCCAGCTGTTTCCCTGAATTCCAGGTAACATGAGAAACCTCAGCTGTCTCGTGCACACTCAGTCTGAAACCCAAGGTCTTCTGCCCTGTCAGCCCTGCCTTTAGGAAAATGAGTTTTGTGCAAATCTCCTAAGTATCAGTCAGAAATAAAGTCTTGACAATAGGACATGATACTTGTCCTAAGAGAAGAGTTTCAGCTTGAGATGTTCTACTTAGTTTTAATACTTCAAGGAGGTAAGATAAAGTTGGTTAACAAACAAGACTGCCAAGCTCAGCTCAACTGAGTTCCATTTCTCGTTGTCCTACTCAAATTTGGGCAAATATTTTAAGGTGAAAAATGCAGATTGGCAGATCCCAATGCAGAGACCTTGCTTTGATGCTTTATGGAGTTTTTGTGGGGTTTTTCATGATGCCACTCCAGTGTGTTGCTGTGCACGTGCGGGAATTCTCCCTTGCTCTTATCTGCAGATCTTGAAGCTGCTACAGGCTGGATCTAAATTAGGAGCTGAGGCAGGAATGTCTGACTGACACACTGCTTCACCAAGTCCACACTCTCAGGATGGGGCCCTTTCAGGAACAGGAATGCTCTGTCATCTCCAACTTCCCCTTCCTCAACTGAGACAAGAGATAACTTCTACTTTATAAAGAGAAAAAACCAGTGAACTTGACCACTGCTAAAAATCCCACCAAAGCTCCTAATATAGATGAGCCTGGGATGTAAGATAAAGTCCCATGGCTATAAAGTTATTCAAGAGGAAGGCAGAATCAATGGAGATGGGTTTTTAAACCCCTTGCTCTTCATGAGGAAGCCTTGAACATCAGAACTGTGTTGGCTGGTGCTGAATGTGGCTGTTGGAGTTTGCTGAGGAGCCTTTGTTGCACAGAGGAATTAAATGGCTTAGAGGTTGCTCACGACCTGGAGAACTGTAGATTATGGGCTGGAGCAGAATCAGCTGTGAGAAACTCAGCCTGAGAGTGGTGCAGAAACCACAGGGCTGTGACTCAACTCGTGTAACTTTAGATGCCTACAGATACTGGGCTCCCTTTCTTCAGGGAGAGAAGTAGGTACAATCAAGGCAGGACTTCAGCCCTGGTTTAGATATGTGTTTTAAGAGCAGAAAATTAGTTTCCTAGATAGGTTTCTTATCCAAAAAGGGAGCCTTTGAGTCACCAGGTCACAGCAGAGATCTCCTGACCTACTGCTGAAGGTTTCCTGACTCATATCCCATGGAGAGCTGAGGACAGCACTGCACGCAGGCAGCCAAGGATGAGCACATCCTCCCAGCACAAGGGCAGGGCTTGCATCTCAGTAAAATCCCCAGAAACAGGCAGGACTCAAGACACCAGCCTGAAGCAAAGGTGGTGGGATGCAGGATGAGGGCTATATCCACATTGTCTGGATGAGCAGTGACCTGATAACAGCGTGGTCTGGCAGGCTAAAGAAACGTGTTAATGCTGTAGGTGTGACACTGGGTCATCCTGCATGACCCAGCTCCGTCAGGGACACCAAGCAGAGGATGTGCCCTGCAGGAATCTCTCATTCCCCTCCCTGTCATGGCTGAGGTGTTTGCACAGGGAGC